GTCCTCTGAAAAAATTATCACATTATGGCATTCCTGCACACCCAATATCCCAAAAGTACAGCTTAAGGCTTTTCACTTTCCTTCTCTTAACCGTGGCTTTGAAAAAGGAGATGAAAAAAAAAATCCTAAATACCCTTTCTGAATTTCCTTGTTTACTGCAGGTAGTTGTTTATCCCTCTCCTTTTTCTATCTCTCTCTCTAAGCTGGTGAGATCACTCCATTTCTCCACTCTAGAAACCCAATAAAACAAAGGCCCAATTATGCTGTCCTCATAACTACAGCTCACAAACGACCTCCCTCCCTTCCAGCACACATCAGCCATGCAGAGACACCAGACAACAACAGCGAGACAGCTCATTTTCAACCACTTACATTAATATATAGTTGTAGGACCACCAGTGCATGGTGGAAGGGAAAAAAATCAATGCAGAAGAGAAAGAGTTTTGCAACAGGCTGTAATAAATGTCACCTTGTGCTAAATTGCAAAGACGCTAAACATTTCAACACATTCAGTAAGTTCAGCGTCACTTTGGGAGACAATAAAGTGAAAACTCTTTGAACTTGATAAGAGCAATTATTTTTTTTCTTCCTGGTATTTAGGATTAATCCTAGCTATCCTTTTTTTATTACCATGACTGGGTGGGTTATGTTTCTGATTAGCCAATGGGTGACATGTAAATGTGGACGAAATGTGGCACAAATTCAGAAAAAGCTGTTTTTACAACTTGATTTCAATAAATGCTCTTTGTGGAACGAGATAACTTTTTTCATAAAATAACGTTTTATATTTCATATAAAAAGAAAAGAAAAGAAACAATTAAACAATCCTATTGTGTATGCAAAGAAAAGTAAAGCACATTAACCATCATATTAAATTTAATTTTACAGGCAAAAAATAAAAATAAAAAAAACATTGAAATTAATTGCTTCATAAATCTTCAATAATCATTTACATCTATGTATGTCGTTTAACACTCTATAACATAGTACACTCACACAGTCACACTAGCATATATTAATAAATAAAGCATAAATATTCATATATTTCTTTCTTTCTGTAAACGTGCAAAACTGAACAGAAACAGTGGGTAAGACCTAAGAGACAGGCATAGATGAGACATTCAAAGACTACCACAATGCTACAACAGCAAGCTGTCGGTACAGGACTCCGGTTTGATGGGAAATTTGGAAAGCAGGAAGAGCTCATTACAGTCTGCTGTAACAATGTTAACGCCAGCATGTCTTTAAACGTAAGACACCCCACTGGATGAAGAATAAAAGCAAACACAAATAACTAATTATGCCATCATATTCTCGCTCGTCGCTGGCGCTCATTAATTGGTGACCTGCACTATTGGTCAGTAGACAATCGGCATGATGATGAAGCCAATTAGAGACAGAGAGTACACATGCCCCACAGAGCTAGTTATGGCTGCCACATCATGTCTCATCTAAATCAAAACAAATGCTACGCTAACGTTGGCGTGACAGCTGTGCCAGGCACAGACATGGGACATTAGAGCACGGCCAACTTTCTCGCTCTCACTAGGCCTCTACAATATCAGTTATTGTGGAGAGGACAGAAGCCTTGCAGCATTACAGCAGAGTCCGTTTAATCTGCTCAAGTGTCTGATAGTGGACAGGCCAGAGATATTCTTGTCTTTTTACTGTAGACTTTCAGACTTTAGAAACTTTAACACTGCACAATCAGGTTTACCTTAACATTTATCAGGTACAATGAGCTAACAATGAATTTACTAATCTAAGTCAATATTAATTTCTACATATATTTGTTAACATTAGCTACCTACATGAACATAAACAACGAAAATACTTATAGAGCATTTTTTAATCTTAATTTCAACATTTGCTAATATTACATATACTAATATAATTAATGCATAAACACTTTAACTAATGGGACCTTATTTTAAAGTGTTACCTACATTTTCAACAAGTTGTATTTCAAGTTTGATAAATGAATATGAATTTAATATGAATTATGAACAGTATATTTATATATTGCCATTAACCTTTTGAATGACACATGCTGTACAAGTAATTTTAGTTCATGAGTTAGTTCACTTAATGTTAATGAACTGAACTTAACTGTAAAGTTAACTGAAGCGTTACTCACAATGTGGAAAATTGTCTCGCTACACAATATTGAACATATTATACAAACAATGCCATAAAAATACAATTATATTAAATAATAATAATAAGATACACTGTTAGCAGTACTGGGTAGTAACTGATTGCATGTAATCTGGATTACCTGTAAGTAATCAGATTCCAAAAATTAAGTACTTGTAATTATAAGGCCCCATCCACACGGAGACGCGTTTAGCTGTATACGCATAAATTTTGTATCGTATAGGCGTTTCGTCCAGACGGATCCGGCGTTTTGGGAGAGTGAAACCGATATTTTTTGAAACCGGGTCCCAGAGTGGATAAATCTGAAAACGCCAACAAAAACATGAACAAACACTGAACGATTGTCTGTTTATTAACTAACATTAACACAGATTAATAAATGTATTGTTCCATGTTCGTTTGTATACCGCGCGCAAGGTTTATGCGCATAGTCCAAGTCTTCTTCTCCGTTTTTAGTGTATCTCTGTGGCAGAATTACAGCGCCACATGCTGGTCTGGCATGTATACTACAGTGTTTTGAGTCGGTTTCGTGGTTTCGTGTGGATGCAGATATTTCTTGAGACGAGGAGAAAAAAAAGATCGGATAGGGAAAGCTCTGGCTTCGTGTGGATGTAGCCTAAGAGTATATTACATACTAAAAAGAGCATAATCAGATTACAGTTACATATTTATGGATTACTTGATTACATATGACAGTAAATCATTCATAATTTATTGATTCTCCCCTATTCTTTTTTTTTTCTCTTCTAAATAATCCTTTCTAAAAATCCTACTCATACATTTAACTATATTCACAAAAGTTGTGTAAATAACACCTCTATTAGATCATGTATAAAACAAATAATGATCCAAGTTTTTTATATATAAAATATTTACTTGAAATATCATCATTTTATGATGCTGATATAAAAAATTGAATATATTTTCTTTACCTTTTCCCCCCAATGTGGTACATTTATGGTCAGTTTAAAACATGTTTGATAAAAAAAGTAATCTAAAAAGTACTCCGAATACATTACCTAAAATCAGTAACCTAGATTACGTTACTAACTACAGTTTTCCTCATGTAATCTGTAATCAGTAACAGACTACAATTTTTAAGTAATCTACCCAGCTCTACATGTTAGGAATTATTTGTAATATGTTTAGATGTTCATGGGTCTAGATACAGAAAAAAGCAAAACATGATGCACTGGTTAAAATGCACATTAGCATGTGTACGTAAACCAAAACTTTAAAATACTGCAGACACAAGTTCTGTGTGAACATCCTCTAAATCTACCTCAGTCAGAGCGACAAACTCAATTACAAAATGGATCACTGAGGACTGTAGGCCAGTGATAGGCTTGTGTTTAATTATACAAAATAAAACAATGTATTGTCATCTAATGCCCTTTTTCAGTAATGCCTATTCAATACTGCACTTGTCTGCTCCAAAAATGGTAAAATGTCAGGTTTGCATTATATAATTACCATGCTGAAAGACAGAATGCTTTGTAAAAGATTAACACGGTTTCTAAAATGTTCTGGATTACTTTGAGTAAACATTTGGATTTGATGCAAACTCTGTAAAACTTAAAAAAACAATCCACAAACACTATGTTGGTTCCCAGATATTTAAAACAGTTGACTATTTCAACAGTGTGCCTGCTAAGTATTAAATGCTGGAACTGCTCAATGGTTGTGCTTAAAATGGATCTACTGTGGCATTACGTTACTGTTTTATTGGAAATTGTTTTACTTACTTCACATGTGATCATTTATTCATCTCCATCACTTTAAAAATGGCATGTCCTGAAATGTCTTGTCTTATTTGAGTGGACAGGTTGCACAACACTTTATTTTCCATTCTCCAATCCGCTTTTCTAATTTTCCAACCAACAAAATATCCTTCAAACTAAAAACATGCCTGAATGAGGTTAACTTATTGCATGGTTTTCACTTATTCTGTCATGCTGAAGCAAAACAAGTGATTTCAGCGTCATGCAAAAAAAATTTTGTCTGAATGTTGACTGCGATAAATATTCTGTTCTTTCTCTTCTTTTTAAACTCTGCATCAAATTACATGAGCATCCACACCCATATTTGCTTCACTAACTCTTGGGAAGTAGTGACGATAAAGACTTGGTTCAACCACAAGCTAAATATTTTATGACTGCACAATTACATGAAATCAAATCTTACAAAAGCCTTTCCTTCATAAACTCTGGAGGAGAAGAGAATGGAGATGTGTTTGAAGACTAGGATTCTGCCTGCCTCCTTCAAACACAAGCTAGAGAGAGAAATAATTGTGTGTGCGATGGATAATTAAGCGATGGTGACTGTCGTGAACGTGAGCTGTCACTCCGATCGAGAGCGCTGTCACGGCGTGCAAAGCAAGGCCGTTCGGACAGGCGCCGTCCACTTTGATCTGGGCTCATGCATACAGAAAGAGGTCAGGTCGTGGTCATTAAAGAGACCCTCCTCTAAACAGCCAGGCGAGATTGAAAGGCCACGTCTTCAAAGAGCTGCGTACAAGTAACCTCTTAAGAGATTCTGACAATTTGCTACGAACAAACAATGGGAGCTAAGAAGGAGTGGGATGGATTAGCTTACGGTGCCTTAGCCTTTTAAGTTCTTATAGTCATCTGCACAGAAAGGGGAGGGTTACACAAATCATTTACAGGGTCAGGCTGTGTAGTTATCCGTCCACATTGCATCAGGTAAAGATGCTTAACCGGCTACTGGGCAACACCTAAACCACAGACCATTTTAAATATCTAAATATGGGATGCATCTCAACTGCCTGTTGATCCTGTGTGTGTCATATGTCTCGGTCTTTCTAGTAAAATCAAAGCACTTACTTGGTCATTTTTTGGCTTGACCACCTTCATGAAAGCTCCACGTGCTTCAGCCTCTGACCGCTCTGACTGGGTCACTTTCCTGGTGTCCAGGAACTTCAGATTTGTCAGCTTATGTAGTACAAAGTACCTGCAGGTTGAAAAAAAAGAAAAGAAAAGCAGATTTTACTAACCAGCTAGCATGCCAGATTACAAAATAAAAAAGTATTTTATAATATACCAAACCACATACGCAGTCATAATGTGTTGTTTATTTATTTGAGAGGAAGCAAATGTTCCTTATATAATTCAGTAATTGTAAATATTTTAAGATAATATTTCAGTAATTTGTTTTGCCTTCATAAGCTGCCTCTACATTTTAGGAAGGGGACCATCCATCCATCCATCCATCCATCATTCAAACTAAAACTTAACCTAAACAAAGTCTATAATACTTATAATATAAAAAATATAATAATAATACAAATATTTATAAAATATAAATATAAATAAATATAAATCATATAAAAAATCTATAATTTGAGTCTTCAAACAGAAGTAGTAGAAGAAGAAGAAATAAAACAATAATAATAGAATAAATCACAATTTTAATGAATAAATCAATTTTAATAATGAAGAAAGGAATTGTAAATTAAATCTGCAAGGCAATCACATAAAATAAAACTTAAATGAACATTTCCTTCAAAATGCGTTAAATTAACCGCAGCAATATTTGTAAATGGGTAATTACCTTCAAAATATGTAAAAATACAGACAACATAAAAACCCCACATTGACAGAATCTGCCAAGCTGTCATTTCTGTAGCTTCACAGATATCTCTTTACGCTTTCACACTGTCTCTGTCTTTCATTCAGGGAGAGAAAATGACGTGAGATAATAGCAGGAATACATAGATGACAACAGATTCTTTCACAGGCTGACTGGAATGGAGGAAGAGGCATGTCAAGACTTCAAACAGAGAGTGAGACAGAGAGAGAGAGACAGACAGAGAGAGAGAGACAGACAGAGAGAGAGAGAGACACTAAGTGGAGGGTGTGAACAGATGTGTATATGGGCAGTGACAGATTCCCAACCGAGCTCTCATGCAAAAGCCAGCAACAAACCCATGATGATGACAATGATGAAGGACGAAGGCGAACCCATGCTACGTGTTTATTCCTGATGGATCACAGAGAACACAACTGCAGATTGATCCTATTAATATAAGCCTGAATCAAAAACATGCGGAGATGTGTTTTCCATTGCATCTATTCAGTTAAACTCCATTTGCATAAACACCCCAGTGTGTATCTTGTGCATTTGAACACTGCTTTCGCAAATTAGAATTTACAATAACAACAATATAGCAATCGAGATTTTCTACATATTCTGAAGAAGACTGAAGAAGTGTTACTTGGCTGATGCTGGGGTGGTTGCGAGGGTGTTGCTATGATTAAAAATTTTTTTTTAAAGGGGTGGTTCACTGTTTTTTTTTCTAGGCTTGATTGTGTTTATGGGGTGCAGTCTAACATGTGTTAATGCTTCGTTTTTAAAAAAACGCATTATTTTTCACATAATTTACCTTTATTCCAAACCGCTCTGTCCCTTCTCTGAGAAACGCGCTGATCATTTCCTGCTTTTATGAAGCCCCGCCCTCAGAAATAGGCGATGGGCTCTGATTGGTTAGCTAGCCCAGTGTGTTGTGATTGGCTAAACCGCCTCTTCATTCAACCACCCCTTTAAGAAAACATGTCAAAATGTTTTTTTTTTTTTAGTTAGGTCATGTATTAATGTAACTTAATATAAATTCATTGTTTATTTTATTTATTTATTTATTTTAGTTATTTTAAAAACAAACAAACATAAAATTGACATATAAATGACATATAATTACATATGTTAATAGAAATAATTGACATATAATAATACACCCACCGTGTGTGTGTGTGTGTGTGTGTGTGTGTGTGTGTGTCTGGATGTGTTTCGTTCAGGATTCACTGATACATAAAAAGTTAAAAAAGAACAACCTTTATTCAAAACAGAAATATTTTGTAACAATATAATTATTTGCTATCACTTTTTTATTAATGAAAAATTTTGCTAAAAAAAAGTATTAATTTCTTTAAGAAAAAAGACAGAAAGAACTTTGATAATTAATCAGCATAATGGTTTCTGAAGAATCATATCACACTGAAGACTGGAGTAATGAAAATTCAGCTTTACGATCCCAGGAATAAAATACATTTTGAATATATAAAAATAGAAAAAAAGCTGGTTTAAATTGTAATAATATTTCACAATATTACTTGTATTTTTGATCAAATAAATGCAACCTTGGCGAGCATAAGAGACTTCTTTCAAAAACACTGAAAATCTCTCTCTCTTTCTCTCTCTCTCTCTCTCTCTATATATATATATACTTAAAAGTTATTTTGTTTAAATCCCTAACTCTAACCATGTGCAAAAGTAAGAGTCATACTTGCCTTAGCAAAACAGCTATTAACTTTATGTAACAAATTCCTCTGGAGTGACTGGGAGCAGTGTGGTGTGGGTATGCTTTGTTTACTGTTATGATTCAATTACAAACAAACATAATAACAGCGACTGTTAGTGGGAAATATGCAGGTGTTTTCCTGATGATTGTGAAAGTGTTTGTGCTGATCTAACAGATGGTTGGAGCAGCTCTGCAGTAAGTGTTGTTTAAAGCACCCCAGGCAAAACTGGCTCTAAGCTTTCTGATCTTCAGCAAACACAGATATTTAAGCCCACACACACGTCATGATGTCAAGAGACAAACATGCAATCACAGACAGCATGCTGGAGAGCATTCCAGAGAGACAGGACATACATCCTTTACCACAGAAGGCTGTCGCTGTGTCGAGAGCAGTACATCTTCAGCTAAAGGGAGAAATGAAAAAACCTTCTCGAGCCCCAGAAGTAAACAATGATGAATGAGCCGAGTGTACTTACGCCTGTTCATTTCATTTGACTAATTGAAATAGCGCAAAGAGGCATGCTATATTTCAGCGTGTTATGAAGCGGGTTGCATTTTTTTATTTGATTAATTTTTTTGTTCTTAGGGCGCAGTCTGAGAAGTGCATAGCCCAAGGCCAGTCCTACTATGACCTGAGAGCTCGCCTAACCCTGTCAGACATAAAATCTGCATTATGCTCAAATTGATGTATTACTATGTGACACATTATGAATATTACATCACAAACACACAGCTGCTGTCAGTCAGGGAAAGAATGGTCGTCCTCTGCACCAAGTGAAGCACGGGAGACATTGCGCGAGAGTGGCGCCTATTGGGTTCATCTGTATAGTAAATGATTCATACTGAACACAGTGTCAAGAAAAATGCACTTAGGCCTAAGGTAGACAAAAGAATGTGTTTCTCCCTCCCTTCTTCCCACCGCTGGGTTTCATGTTGAAAACCTGACAAATGGTGGTAACATAGCGTCACATTGCACTCCCATAGGCCTGGGCTTGATAATGAATGCATCGTTTCATCTTGTAGGAAACGATAGCAAACACTCATTTGTGGTTATCACAATTCACACATGAAATCGATTTTGCAAGTCAACAAAAAGAAAAAAAAATGGAGGCGAGTAGCTTTAAGAGGAGTGTTGTTATAGCCTAAAGTATCAGTCTTTGCTTGTGCAATGTGATTTATGGTATGTTGCAACAGCCGTTCATCCAAATAAAAGATTACTGAAAGCTGCCAAACTACACACTCCTGGGGTATTTCTCTTTTTTACAAGAAGAAATAAAAACATATCAGCAAAACAAAAATTCATGAGTACCTAAAAAATTGCCTTCATTGCCTTAGGATACCAGATATTTCATATGCAGTGAGGCCCAAAGGTCTGAGACCACTAGTGAAAATATTTTTTGAATTGGAGGGAAGGGAAGGAAAGTTTTTTTTTTTTTTTTTTTTAATCATTGCATTATTTTAATTTTATCACAATTCAAAACAGCTGTTTTCTATTTTGAATACATTTTAGAATGTAATTTATTCCTGCGAGGGCAAAGATGTATTTTAAGCAGCCATTACTCCAGTCTTCAGTGTCACATGATCCTTTAGAAATCATTCTAATACGCTGATTTGGTGGTGGAAACATTTCTTATTATGATCAATGTTGAAAACAGTTGTGCATCTTAATATTTCTGTGGAAATCACAAATGTTTTTCAGGATTCTTTGATGAACAGAAAATTCAAAAGAACAGTTGTAACATGATAAATGTCTTACCTGTTATAACTTTTGTCCAATTTCATGCATCCTTGCTGAATAAAAGCATGAATTTATTCCTAATTAAAATGCTATTCTTATTAAAATACTCCTAATTCAGTGTTTAAATGTTAATTTTCTAAGTTTAAAAGACCAAATTTCCAAGGTGTTTGGAACTACACCTCTGTATGGTACAGACATTACAGAGACAAAGGTCTCAAATTCAAAACCACTTGTGCATGTTCATTACAGTAGACAGTAGGGCTGCACGATAAATCGCATGCGATATTTAATGTGCATCTTGTCAGTAAAGCCGGTTCTGCAGCAGCATTTACTACACAGAGCCGTTGTTCACTGACAAGCTGCGCAAAACCACGTTCATAAATGTGTTCTGACCTGTATCTCTGATAGTCGTCTTCATCTTTATCCATGCTGACCAGCTGGTTGGGACAGGCCTCATTTCCCAGAAGGCTCAGGTATTCCAGCGCTGGCGTCACTTCCACCAAATGCTCCAGCAGGGCCTCAATGTCGGTGAAGTGTCACGGGGCAGAGGTCAAGGAATGCAGGCTGTAAACTACATTAGAATTTACTCTGTGCTCTCCGCTGGCCTGGCCAGCCAAAAGAACTCTGTCAAATTTACCGAAACCCTCTGAAAGAGCTCAATAGCCATTGTGCTTGAGAATACAAAGAGTGGGTAAATTTAAGGGTGAGATTTTGGCATTTGCTGCAAGTTTGGCTGTTCTCTTCTCCCGTTCCTCTTCCCATTTCCTGGGTGGCTTGGTCCAGAACATTAAAAACATTGACAAAATGATGGATGCCTTGTGGTAAAAACAGTTAGTGACTCCCTAAGCCATGGACACCCCCTCCCCTTCACCCAGCATGGGGAAACAAACAGCCACTTCACAGCAAATTCATCACTAATACATTCACTTCATTGGAAAATGGTGCCTGAAACGTGTCAAAATACAACCACACTAATGCAGCACTTGAATTTCAATGGCAGCAGGCCACTACAGGATGTAAATAATTGGTCCATTAGCATGTGCAGACCACTTCACAGCAGAATTTGGGTCGGAGCTGCTGACACTCTGTCGGAGGAGAGCTGTTTGGAGAACAGAGGGTGAGGCTGCGTCATTATTATGTAGATAGATAGCATCCAGCGACAAACAGCAGAGCATAAATTTTCGTCAGGCTAGCACATTTACTTTTGCCATTTATTTCTCTTTGAGTCCCATCACACAAACTAAATGTAACGTGTCACATAGTGATGTAATTGCCGACTGTCAACGGACGGAAACCTGAAATTTCCAGTCTGGCTTCAAAGATTTACTTTTGGCGTGGGGTAGCTGGTACGTTAGCTTATTAAAACAGCTAATGCTATGAGTTCAAATATTGGTTAATAAACTCTGTTTGCTCTGCTTTCTGGTCTTGTGGCCCTGCACTAATATACTGTAACTATGATATGGGTTACCATATGATATGATCTGTTTCTAAGAAAGACCTCTAACAAGGCTTTATATCTTTCAGTCATGGGACTGTGCTTGGTATTTTGATTCGCCTCTCCTCCACTAGAGGTCACCATGGCACAAACTCAAGTTAGTTTATAAAGCAACCCCATTAGACAGGAGCTCAATTTAACACAATAACATCATTTATTTATATAATAACATCACGAAGTGTGGCAAAAGGAGATCCTGCACTGCATTGCAAAGAAACTCACAGCGTATCCTGTCATTTTGGTCAAGCATGAGAGCTGAAAAGCAAAGCTCGAGAAAGGATATTTGGTTCTTATTGAGCGTTAGAGTATGGAGCCGTGGTAACCTGGGCAACCGGAGGTCATTTCCGAGAAGATTGTTGTCCACAATCAGCTCTTCCAGTTGGCTGAACGCTTTCAGACCTGTCAGTGACCTGCAATGATAAGGCAAGAGAGGAAAAATGATATGGCCCTAAATCTGGGCAGCCATTATGTGCAGAAATAAATATTTCAGGCGGGCCCTTTCACAGGCCGGAATAGTTTGGGCTTGGGACTGTCAGGAGAGTGAATGATAAGACTTAGTGGCGCTAAGATCCCCTGGCATGGTGCGGCATCCTTCACACACTGGCAGCGTGAGTGATGAGGGTCACTCGTGAGTAGCCAGGATTCAAAACAAAAGGGCTTCAGAAATGCAGTGTGCGGGATGAATTTGTCAATGTCTTGTGCCTTCAGGCACCCAGCTTTGCCTGACCCTAACCCTCCATTCCCAAGATAAATAACTCTGTCACAGTTCACCTTCACTCCCCCAACACAAATTTAACTCGTCATCCATCATTTTCCCAGCACAACTATAATGCCTAGCCACAAACGGAATGAGTACAACTTCTGCAACTTCTCCGATGAGCTGCTTACAGTTAAAAACAACTGCTTTATGAGGGGAAAAGTTTGACGTTTCTTCCTTTATTCCCCATTGTGACACCTAATCCCCCACAGACACACGTGCACGCAGGCACACGGTCCCCAAGGACTTTCCCCCGCCCTGCGCTGGCATAAACATGATGGAGGGTGGTGTTCAGGGTAATGTCGGGGCCTTCCAAAGTTCATGGCGTGGAAGGTGCATAAAAGCCGGGGTGTGTTTCTTATCCCTCAAATGGCAGAGGCTGACAACCAACAGTGTTAATGTGTCAAGCCTTAGTTAATTGACATTTAGGTCTATCAGCCTGCCTCCTTGAGCAAAGAACAATTCGATGGCAACAAAATGCTAGTTTTCGGTGCTCTTGGGGCAAAACGGAAAAATAACACCTGCATAACAATCTTATGGATTTTGTTGTCGTGAGACCTTCTGTGGTACAGTAGCATGGAAAATTCCAAGGCAATCTGGAAAGAGCTCACAGGAGTAAATGTTGATATCTAGCCAGGTGAAGTCTGTCTTTGGAAGACACCCAACTATTGTACCAACGAACAAATCGGTCTTGCTGTCACTGTCATAAAACTCTCTGTTGTGTTATGCAGATACCTCGCTCTTATCGTGTAGAACATGGCTGATGAAATTGTATGAGCTTTAAAAGAGGAAGAACGCAAACATATAGAAGCAGACAACCAAGAACTCCAACCACAAGAGAAATACGTTTATTTTGTACTGTCCAATTCAAAACTCAGAGAAATGTCCCTGCTCGATAAATGAAAGCTGTTCTGCGAGCCTCCTCCACCTGTTTGCCTCGGCTGTTTCTGGGCGGGTGTAATGTTATTAGCTGCTTAGTTAAGAGGCATTCGTGCGTCACAGGGGGTTGCTTATTAATTGTTGTTTTCGTGTCACTACTGCTGTGTGCAAAAGGTGATTTAATCAGTTAAATTCACAGCCAAGGGAGCGGCCAAATCACATTCACTACAACAAACAGGGATTCAACCTTAATTTACCCACAACACGTTGTGCCTAAACATTTGCGCTGCCGTATTATATGCAACATCTGTACAGTGCAGAGGAGGAAAACTTTCAAAATGTGTTGCTAACTGAATGATTAATTGCCAAGCGCTTTAAAAGAAATGGTTCACCCGAAAACAAACATTTATTCACTCCTAGTCCTTAATATGGAAGCCCAATTCTGCCTCAGAGTAAAAATATAAATAAAGTACAGAAAGAAATAGCTGCAATTGATATAAGTGATACAAAAAAGATACTGAGACATATAAAAACTGTGAGATATGAAGTTGCAACATCTTTTCTCTGAGGCAGAGCTTCAATACATTCCAAACCCATACCCTGCTATTTTGTCCATGGGATGTAAAGAGAGAAATGTTGAAGAACCTTCATGCAGCTCTTTTCCACAGTTCACAGTTCATATTTTTTTACTTTACTTTTTTTAGTCATTTAGCAGACGCTTTTATCCAAAGCGAATTACAAATAAGAAAAAGTAATTAAAACTAAAAGCTAAAACTCTATAAATACTATATATATATACACACATTTAAGAAAATAAAAGAAATTAAATAAAAATGACAAATGCATACAACAACATTTCAAAACTAAAACATTTAAATGAAAACAAAAAAATAAAGCTAAAAACAATTCAAACATACACAAATAAGAAAAAGTAATTAAAACGAAAAGCTAAAAGCTTTTAAGAAAATAAAAGAAATTAAATAAAAATGACAAATGCATACAACAACATTTCAAAACTAAAACATTTCAATGAAAACTAAAAAATAAAGCTAAAAACAATTCAAAAATATTAAAAGAACAAAAGGTATGAGTATAATAATGATTCTAACATAACACTAAGCCACTATATTCTATATTATATTTGGCATTTATTTAAAGATAATCTTGCATTCTGCATATTCAAATTACTATGCAAAATTTGGCTACGTCACACTTTAAAACGCTTGGAACAGAGCATATTGTGGACTACTTTTATTGACACTTTAATCTGCAATTTTAATTATTTATTTTGCCTACCATGGTCATTTTGATGTGTTCTTATATGGAACATGTTCCAGATAATAACAAACAAATAAATTGATGGTGAGAAAATCCTGAACATACACTTACAAAAACTAAAAATAATGTCAATACACAAGCAATTTAAAACTCAATAACACACAAACACTTTCAGGTAGGAACCTCTCTGACTCACACCTCGTCCCCATGGGGAATCCAAAACTGACTGCACATTTTCGCCACCATCTTCAAAGTCACACCACAATGACAGAATAGCACAACGCAGGGAGCGCCGTCTGATCTAAGGCGAGAAGGAGAGAGATGGACGGGAAGACACGAGAGAAGGAAAGAGAGATAGATTTAACGAGCCACGCCAATGAACCCACTCCTTGTTAAGATAATTATGATCAAGCTCATTGTCACAGTGAATATCTCAACATGTTTGCCAGTGCAGCGTGTCTGCCTCTCTCTGCCTGAGTTAGCACACAGCTCACAAAACAGGAGATTTAGCTGCTAAACAACATACTCCACTGGAAAAAAACACATGATTACACATGAGAAATAAGGTGACCAAATGACCATGATACAAATTAAAGACAGGTCAAGCCATTAGTCAGCCAGCTTTCACAGGTCACATGTCCAGGGAGAGAGAGACAGAGAGAGAAAGAAAAAAGGAAAGAGAATTCTGAGATACACCTGCCGAGCCGATACAACTGAGTTAGCAAACAGTGCTAACCGCAAATAACATACTCTCAGACACAGCGCTCATTCAAACACACTCACGCTGCCTTTGTATTCCGAGTCTGCGTTCCAGCAGTGATCCCATTCAGCAAAAGCCTCCTTCTGTATGATATTCCTAGCTTTGATATTTCCCTTTGCTATGGCCAGTAATTCCCTTGTTTGCTCAGCGGTTTTAAAAGGCCTTTCTCTTCTCTGCTCTCCCCAGTGTGTCTGTTCTTGACAGAGCAGCTCTGATCATCCTTTGATATTAGTCTCTCTCATATCCTCGGCTCCACAGTGTCACCCATGTGTCTGGTGCCAAAACTGGGTCCCAGAAAAGCCACGGGCGATCTAGACATACATACGCACCAGCTGATCTGCAAGCGGCACCACGGCTCGGTCTCAAAGTACGACTCGGGTTTGGTCAACAGCGGATGGCTGCAGATTCCATTGTTTGGGATCTTTTCCTGTGCGAGGATTGGAATCCGACTTCAGGCCTTGTTTGAAAGTTAAAGAGGGGAGATTTAACATCAAAGCTGTCTCCGGTGTAGGAAAAGTAATGTTTTTATTCCGAAGAGGCTGCGAAGGCTTGGGAGTGACAGGCAAATTGACATGCTGTTCACAGGGCAAAAGATAAATGTTTGATAAATTGGCCAATCCGGTTGGAGTGATGGGCTTCATATGTGCATAATGGACTGGCTGCCTGGCAGTTCTGATTGCCTGCCAAGATAAGAAACTATAATGAATGAAAGAGGAAAGTGGCGCTGGAAAAACAGTCATCGGACTGGTTTTAATAAACGTGAAGGGAAAAAAATGCACATGACACCACAGAGCTGTCTATCAGAGGACATGACAAACTCCTCATCGTACAGAGAGAATAAATGAATCGACTATTTCTCAGAGGTAGTTGTGATAAATGTGAAGTAGAACGCCACATCTTCCCATTGTGTCAGTTTTTAATCAACCCTACAACCTTGAATATGATCTTGACACCAGCTTCATGCTGAATATATGTGCCAAAGAAGCTTAGAAGCACTCCCACCTTCGACCCGCATGCAATTCTGTTTTCAATCTTCAAAAACATGATGCTTCAGATGCAGCGGCACTATAAATCTTCAGTTTGGCACTATTAGGCAGCCATTATCTAGCTTAATCTCAGCCCATCCACCCTGGCTGACTTCAAACATGTCACCAGCCCTTGGGTGGCAGCAATTTACAGATCACATGTGTAAGGAAATGGGCTTCAGCTATGTTGCAATTTACATGTGTTAAAGGCTTATGGAGCAGTTATCCTGCAGTTTTAATGGGGACACAGACTGGTAGGGTGATTTTCTTCCAATATACAATGTACATTTTGGTTTGTTATTTACGTGGATATTCACAAACCTGCAGTGCATAATTTGGCTCCATTAAACAACACTATCATTACAGTACTGCGTATAACACATAAGTAATGGATAAATATATAAAAAGCTAAATGCTAGTCTTTTGGAGCTTAATGTGTCAAAGAAAAATTGTGAAGAAGAGAAAAAAACTCATGGGGTTCCATAAATATAAACTGCCATATTTAATTAGTCTCAAATTGTGGATTAAAAGAGGAGATAACAAAGGGTCACTTAGGAATGGTTCAACCAAAAATGCTCAGAATTTACTGGTTCCAGGTCTTTGTTTTATTTTATATGTTCAAGCTTCTGTTTTACATACATTACAAGGAAAATAGATGCTGATTTACACTGACGTCACTGTCAATAAATAAATAAAATGGCTTCAGAAATC